CCCCCGTCCCCATCCCCATCCCCTTTAGTGGGATGACATTCGAGGCTACACTGTCCTGCACCACCACAGTCCTAGAGTGAGGAACTCAAGAAGCTGGGGGGAGGGCCAAGGACAGACTCACACGTGTTAAATAATTTAATGGGAGTTGTAGAAACAGGTGGGCACGGCCAGAGGCCAGGAGTTCGGGGAGCTGTTCTGAGGGAGGGCAATACGATGCAGGCTGGCCCAACCTTCCTTGGCCTACTTTTGGAGTTGGAGTGGGAGGGATGGGTTGTCCCTTTGCTCACATGAACAGTTTGAGTCTGTATTTGTCTTCTAACCTCCTCCTGGCCAAGGCCCTGTATGGAGCGAGGGAATGTCCTTCTGTTCCTGCGGTTGTGAATCCAATGGATTCTTGGGCATCCTGTGTGCTTCCCTCCTCCCCCACACCTTCAGGCTTCTCAGACCCAGGACTCCTCCTCAGATGGGAGTGGGGCTTGCTCAAGCTGAGGCCCCAGGCCCTCTGAAGGCTGAGGGCTGCTCTCCAACAGAGTGGACAGCTCGCTCGTCTTTTCTTCATCCTCCTTCTCGCCTGCTGAAGCTCCATCCTCCCGGGAGGCCTCCCCTCCCTTGCTGTCCGGTACAGCTCTCAACAGCCTGCCCCTGGGGAGCGGCCTGGCTGGACCCAGGCAGAGGTAGGTCAGTGGCTTGGGGATTCTTGAAGGTTGCTTCTCAGGCCTGTGGTCTCTCCGGGGCCGGATCTTGGGCCTCAGCTTCAGTTTGTAGATGGAAGGGACTCTCTGGGGTTTCCGGAGGGTCCTCTTGACCTTGCCCAGACGTGCCTTGGCTTTGTCAGAGCTGGGATTTGAGGGTGAAGGTGGGGGGACCTCTGGGCTGGTAGACTCCATAGGGGCTGAGCAATTGTGTCCTCCTTGAGGTAGGACCTTCCTTAGGCTGGCACCGGTGGCACTCAGGCTTGCCTTTGTCCTTGACCCACTCTCTTCGGCTCCCAGCATCCCTTTTGGGCTTCCTGGGCCTGCAGTAACAGCTAGCTTAGGGGGGCCTCTAGGGGCAGTCTTCCAGGCTTCCAGATCCACTTTCATAAGGGGTGGGGGACCCCGAGACAGTTCTTGGATGACTTTGTCATAAGGATCCCCAGGCTCAGGCCACTGACCACCCAGGCTGGGGACATAGACTCCACTGCGAGGGATAACCCCAGACTCTGTGCCCTTGGGACAGGCACCCGCCACCTCTAGCAGCTTCATGTTGACCAAAATCTCCTCTTCAAGGCTATTGTAGATGACTTTCTCCCTGGTCCTATGCAGGGGCTGGGGTGTGGACCTACCCTCCTGTTCCTGTGGGCCCAGACACCGGGGCTCCCTGGCCTCTGCGGTGACCTGGATGTCTAGCTTCAGGTCCCCCCGAGTCCCTTCCACAGAGCAGTCCTCATGCCTGGACACAGCCAAGTCTCCAGTGATGGCCCTTAATGGGATGATGGATCCTCTCCCAAGTTCTGTCCTGGGACTTCCACTTGCAGTACTTGAAAAGCTTCTTCCTGGTGTTGGGGGGCGGCCAGGAGGTAGACGGATGGGGATATTGGTGAGTTCTTTAACAGGGGATGGAGATTGAACAGATGCTGGCTCCCTGAGCTGGGAGGAAGCACCCTCAGCCTCATCCCAGAGTGGCAGCCTGAGGCCCAGGGCCTTGGCTGGGCTACAGGAATGAGGCAAGGAACATGGTTCTCTTGCTGACATCCCTTTGGTGATGGCCTCAGGGACTTGGAGTCTTTGGGGGGTGGGGGTCCTGGCATGGGTTTGCTCATGAACCCAAGACGTGGGAATCCTTCTCCTGGGGAGTTCAGGGGGGTATCTGTCCTCCCTCTTCCCTGATGAGGTATATTGTGGGTCTCGGCCCCTATAGATAGATGAGAATTGGGGACTGGGTGAGCTGTCCTCAGCTGTCAGCTGACTTTGAGATGGTGTGGGAGACCTCTCCTGGCACCTGAAAGGGACAATCACAAGGTTGGAAAAGAGACTCATGACACTGGCAGCTTCATCTATGCAGCCCATTGCTCTGGGAAGGGATGGTCTTTCCCTAGTGAGAACACTGAAGGGGTTAGACTTCATGTTGAATGAAATACACGCTTGCTTTCCCCTGTGGCTGCCCAAGAGTCCTCCTCACGGCAGTCACTGTTTACATCTATTCTCCCTTGTTCTCTGTGTAAGAGATAGAGGGAAGACCAGCCAAGGATCAGGGTGACTTCAGATCCTTCAAGAGAAAATTCCAGACCAGAAGTCCTGCACCCAGAGGTCTCCAGTCTTGGGGTGGGGGGTGGGGTGTCTTAATCTCTGCTCTCCCGTGAAATGGCAGAAAACCTTGAATAAGTCATTTCTCTCTGGGCCTCAGCTTCCTCATCTGTGAAATGGGAAAGCATATGAAGTAACCAGATGATCCCAAAGGTACTGGGTACTTTTTGGTTCCTAACACCTGCAGTCTTGTTGGGGGAAAGACACAGCTGGGGACTTGCTTCTTTTATCTTTGAGTTGGACCCTGAGGATGTGGACTTCAAAGGAAAAAGAGGCCCTTCCCTGTCCCCCCTGTACCTCAGGAACGGTGCCATCTCTCCGAGGGCCCCTGCCCCTGCTCCCCGCTCACTGCGGGGCCTGGGGGAGGAGGGGGTAGGGGACCTCAGCTTTCGGCCTGAAGAGGTATATGTCTTCCAGTCCACGGGGGGCAGTGGGCTCTGGGAACGGCTGACAGTCATTGTAGGCTGGGGCTGCGAGGGTCCGTCCTGCACCCTCACTTCATGCTGCACCGGCGGGGCTGGGGGCTTCAGGAAGCTGCCGGGTTTGTGTGCTATCAACATCCCCAGAGAAAGTAGAGGAGGGCAAGGTTCAATCCCTGCTGATGGGGCCCATTGTTCCCCTCCCCCAGCTGCCCCATGCTCCACATCCCACGTTAAAAACAGCAGGACCTACGGTAACAACACCAGGTTTCCTTATAGGAAGGGTTGGGGGGACACAATCTAGTCAGAGGGCTCAGCTGGGGGACTTGTTTAAAGCTGCGTTTTGCATCGCAGGTGCACAACATTTAGTTAGAGTGTATGAGCCGGGCTCGGTGGCTCAGCCTGTAATCCCGCGCCTTTGGGTGGCTGAGGTGAGTGGATTGCCTGAGCCCGAGGGTTCAAGACCCGCCTGGGCAACTTGGCGAGACCTCATCTCTACAATAAATAAAAAATGAGCCGGGCGTGGTTAGTGCGCGCCTGTAGTTCCAGCTACTTGGAAGGCTGAGGCGGATCACCGGAGCCCAGCAGGCGAGGCTGCGGTGGCCGGGAGCGGCCACTGCACTCCAGTCTGGGTGACAGAGTGAGACTCCAACTCAAAACAAACAAAAAAATAGAGTGTATGCTTATTTGGAGTGGCTTAAGGTGCTGAAGGAGATTATGGGAGGACCTAAAGATCTTCCAAGTCGTGCTTAGTGCCATCACTGTGGACCCCTGAGCCAGACCTAAGCTCTTGCCGGGACGACCCCTGACTAAGTGGGGATTCTGCGTGTGTTGCGCACCATCTTGTGACTGTAGATGGTACTGCACTGTGACTGCCCAGCAACAGAGTCTTCCTTCCTCCAGCCTCCCCCACCCCTCCCGGGATACCTCTTGCCCCTGAAGATCAGATCTGTCCTCCACCTCTGCTTATGGCCTCCCGACCCAGAGTTATTCCTTCCCAACCCCACAGGGAAAGGACTCAGGGAACTCACAGAGAGAGGAGCACCGGCAGGGGTCATGTTTGTCCAGATAATGGCCCAGTGTGTCCCAGCCGCCCCCCACACGTACCATCACGTGGTTCCGGAGAATCTGAGGGGGCAAGAGTGAGGTTGAGGGCAGGGTGGAGGGCATCCCTTGTCCCTGGACCAGCTTGCAGGCTTCCAACATGCACTCAGGGTATTGCCATCCATGAACTCATGCACATGCAGATAATCCCTTGTACGTGTGTGTGCCTGGGAGCATGTACATTTTTCGCAGCCTGAATCTCCTCCTCCACGACATGGACAGCACGTAGTGTCAAGAGTGGAGGCCAGGCTGGCAAGCAGGATGTTACACCGAACAAGGGATCTAACAGGCATGGTGTAACCTGGTCCAGGGTTCTGGGCTTAATGCACTTGCTTTTCCTCTGTGGTGTGTGTGAAAGAGCCCACTCCATTCTGGGGCAGGTCACATAGTCTCTCAAGCTTCAATTTTCTCCATCAAAAAGTGGAGTCACAAGCTGGGCTCGGTGGCTCAGCCTGTAATCCTGTGCTTGGGGAGGCTGAGGTGAGGGGATTGCCTGAACCCGCGGGTTCAAGACCCACCTGGGCAACTTGGCGAGACCTCATCTCTACAACAAATCAAAAAATCAGCCGGGTGTGGTAGCGCATGCCTGTAGTTCCAGCTACTTGGAAGGCTGAGGCGGAAGGATCGCCGGAGCCCAGCAGGTTGAGGCTGCGGTGGCCGGGAGCGGCCACTGCACTCCAATCTGGGTGACAGAGTGAGACTCCAACTCAAAAAAAAAAAGTGGAATCACAATTCCTTGCCCCTATCTACTTCACAGGGCTGTTGCCTGAGGGCCTGGGTGAGGGCCCAGGGAACCAGGCCTATGCCCTAGGAAAGGTGCTACAGACCATTTCTGGTGATGCACAGCCAGGTCTTTGGGGAAGGGGGGGCACATTTCAGACCTGTAACTACTCACTCTGCAGAATGTACCCAGTTAGGTGTGGCGTGTGAGGGGACTGTGGGTCTGTGTGGCTGGGGACATCAACTGAACACAAACCCGGGGTTC